TTTGAGAGTCACACAATTTGAAAAGAGTCCCTTGAAAACAGTTAATAATGACCGATAAATTTTTGGAACGGGTGTGAGCCCAGGAATAACCAACAAAATGAAAATTTAAGCATTGTGAAAAATAATCACACCACTCACTCTTTATGCAACCTCTGCCAATTGTGATGCTTCCTCTGGCAGATTTTCTGGCTTTTGTGTGTACAAAGAATAATGGAGACCTTTATTAATAATGAGTCAATATGGGGAGAGTTTAAAATATAGATTTCTTATCAGATAAATGGGTTTCAGAAGTAAAGTCACATATGTATTAAAAACTATAGAAAAATAATAGGTTTTGTTTACATATTGGTCAGGGCCCTTGACAGAATTTTACAGAGAAGTTTGTCTTGTTTCTGTTTTAACACCTACTAAAATATATAAGCCTGACAAAATACTGTTCCCATGAAACCACTTTGAAGCTCTGGGTGGGTTTGGACTTACGTGGGTTTTTTATTTATTTATTTATTTTTATTTTCCCTCATTTGTTTGCATTTTCTGAGGGGTTTTTTTTTCCTTTCTTAAAATCAATAACAAAAATTTAAAAATTGCCATTAGAATAATTTGTTGGAAATTTGTTTTTTAATGAGTTCCGTTATCTGAAACATATTTGTGTATGCCAAGAAAATAAATATCAAGATAATTAGTATCCACAGCTTTTTCTACCCACCATGTTGAAAGTCTACAGCAAGGAAAAGCAGATGAGATCAATTTTTGTTTTTGTTTTTTTCTGTTTTTTGGTTTTTTTAAGGCTTTCTTTAGAGAAGGTGGCTGTTGACAAGGTTGTTTTAAACATATTTAAGGCCAACAGTTGACTGAAAAGTAGTTTTCTCTGTGTTTGTTTTCCTCCAACTTTATTTTCGTATCACAAAACTGTAATACTTTTAACTTAATCAGCACCTAATGGCAGAAGGAGGACCCATTCAGCTAGAGATTGAGATGAGTCCTTGGCCAGGTGCACAGGGTACTCTGAATTTAATGGCTTTCAGAGAATGGCACTGGAGCTATTTCCTAAGCCAACTGTAAAAAACCACTGGAGTGGAATGCAAGTTATTCTTCCCACCCCCCCTTTTATGTACCTTAAATTAATCTTAAATGTCAGAATGGACTCTTCTGTTGGCTGCTTGAAAATAACTTGAGGGATGAGGTCATAGGCTGGTTATTATTGTTTGCCTTAAATGCATGTGAAGAGTGACAGATGTAATTGAACTTTTATGTAGTCCATTACTAAAATAGCTTTAATGTTAATTAAGGAAACTCTAATGTGTAAGTGTGCTTTGTAAAAGCTGAGGCAACTTTGGCCTAAACCATTGTTTGTAGAGATAGAGCAATGAAAATAAAACTAAAATTTTGACAAATATATAAAGATTGAGGATCTGACAAATAATTAGTTATATAATACTTAATACCTATATCATTTTTTCAGATTTATTCAGATCATGTGGCATTTATTCATGATAGTTTTGGTTAATATATTGCAATAAAAACTTTTAACTTCTCTGTTTTCAACTGTTTTCCTAGTCTCTTATGAGAAACTGCATAGAGACATCTCCCACCCACCAAAAACATGTAAAAAGCATGTAACACTCTAGGGCCTTGAAAAATTAATCTCAGTATTAGCCCAAGATAATTGAAAATTGCACATCACTAAATGTAAATGTGTAATGACATATTCTCTGTCAGCTAGAGTGCAGGTCTTAATGGACTCGACAATGGGAGTCGTTTAACTTTTCAGATTATTTTGAAGGGAGTCTAGAATGATTGTTGCCAGTCCCTTCCTCATTCCCCTCAACCACAGCAACAAAAAAGTAGAACCTTTCTAACATGTGGGTCTTAGTTCTTCATTTTCTCTTTCAATTATGGCCCAAGAATGGAGCCCAAGAATGATTTGAGGGAAACTGTAAGCCATATTTCTCCTCAACTCCAGTCTGAAGTTAGAAGTCTGTAGAAAGAACAAGGCACATATATTGGAATCCAACTCTTAGAGGACATCAAAAAGAGAATTTTCAAGTCATTTCTTGTACAACCAGCTGTTCAAATTAGCATACAGTCATTTCAGCCTTTATAAATAAAAGGGTTTTCTTAACCTTATAAAAACACAGTGGCTTGACTATGGCTATCCTTGGGAGTTTAAAACAATGACATAGGATATTGTTATTTTTTTTTTTTAAAGATTTTATTTATTTATTTGACAGAGAGAGAGACACAGCAAGAGAGGGAACACAAGCAGGGGGAGTGGGAGAGGGAGAAGCAGGCTTCCCGCAGAGCAGGGAGCCCGAT